TTTTTCGCCGAAGCTAAAAAAGCTGACGTGAGCGTGCAACCCATGGGCAAATGGTTCATGCTTTTCAACCAATCAGATCGCGCGGATTTACTTGACTATATTATAAAGACTTTTTGCAAATAAGGAGGCTCGGAACGGTTTTTTTGAGCGCGCGCGCGCTCTAGGTCCGATGACGTAGAACTTGCAAAAGGAAAATTTTTGTACTCATAAATTTTACTGTACAAACTGAAAAAAAATCAAAAATTCTGCGGTGAAATTTCTTCAAATTTGGCATAGGGCTTTAGTTTAAGAGGGAACTGCTCCAAACAAATTTTATTGATTTTTACGAATACGATCCCAAGTTTTGGTTTCTGAGTTATGATTTTTTAAATAAACATTTTTGATGGCATACCAAGGGTTCTGATGTTGTCATAGCAACATCTTACGTCATTTTTTCATGTTCATTGTGATCTTTGGTTTATAGTCTTTGGCTTTCCGGGTTTACTTGCTGTCATATTATAGCCATATTAATTGTTTTCAGTTCATAAATGTGAGTTTATGTGAAGGCACAAAACACTTTCCAGCCTCCTTAACTTGAGTGACCCAAAGAAATGGTACCAAGACGAGGTTGGACTTGGATAAAATACAAACAAAGTATGAACATGCATCAAGTCTAACCTCATCTTGGAACCATTGTTTGGTGGTCACTCAAGCGAAAAGGTGTATAAAAGGACACTTTGGTCACCGACAGTGTTGACCTGAGCCTCAAAAAATATAAACTTGTGAAAAACATTAAAAAGGGGGCAACCGGGTTTGAACCGATGACCTCTCGATCTGCAGTCGAATGCTCTACCACTGAGCTATACCCCCTTCTTGTTAGGAATGTGTCTTAATATCCATCTCGTTATTATTCTCTCAGCACTTTATATCGATGTAAACTCCTTTTTTTCAAAGCGCACTTTTTTAGATCCCATCTCATTCTCTGAAGTATTATTTCTTTCTATACTACAATGTTTGGGAAGATTCAGGAATATGCGTGCGAATCAAACAAATATTTTCAAAAAGTTGATGGAAGGAATAAAACAATTCTACCTACCGTCGTGCTTTGCGCTTAGGGTTAAAGATATTTTCTTGGCAATATTTCTGGAAAGAAAAAAAGGATTTTCAAAGGGGGCAACCGGGTTTGAACCGGTGACCTCTCGATCTGCAGTCGAATGTTCTACCACTGAGCTATACCCCCTTCTTGTCGAATGTTAATAAATGCGATTCTTGAAAAATCCTACACTAATTTGTATGTTTAAGTTACCAAACCTTTTTGTACGTTTTCAGTTGTCTGAAGGTTCAAGTAACAAGCTGAGGAAGGCGCAAACCCGCAAGAGATCGAATAAAGAGACACGAACAGTCCTCGCAAGATGGCTGAAGCAGCTTCAGTTCAAAATCGCWCTGGCTGAACAATCAGCCGCAAATGGACAGACACATTTCCATACTATATGATGACACTCGAAGCGATATGTAGTAGTAGCCAGCGTAGCGGCCCAAATGGGAAGGGAAGGGGATTGGGGACTAATGAGAGGAGGGGGGGGACTGGGGGAGAGGGAGAGCCTGCAATGAACCCCCTCGATTTTTTTTACCGCCCCCTAATTAATATGCAAAATCTCAACCAATCAAATGTTAGAATGTTAATTTCTGTTTCTATGAGTCAACCAATCAAAATTAACGTTCGGATTCTGAACGTTCGTAGGAAAAATCGAGGGGGGTCATTGCAGGCCCTCCCTCGCCTTCCTTCCTCTCCCCAGTCCCCAATCCCCTTCCTCTCCCCAGTCCCCAATCCCCTTCCTCTCCCCAGTCCCCAATCCCCTTCCTCTCCCCAGTCCCCAATCCCCTTCCATTTGGGCCGCTACGCAGGTTAATGTAGTAGATTCTCAGTTCACTGACAGGTAAATACTGGATCAAAGTTAACACTCATCTGCTGATCGCGGGCAAACGTATATACATAGTGTATAGGAGATTATAGAAAGATAAGAAGGGGGTTAGAGAAACTAATGCTTTAAGTGGGAATGCGATATGTGCGCATGTGCATGTGCGCAGGAATAGGGGAATATACAGAATATATATGTATATATATAACAATATAACAGTGGGATAGGAGGGGCTTCCAAAGAGAAAATAGGGCACGGAAACATTCTATTCGGCTGCAAACATCGCATAGTAAATCCAAATCAATGATTAAGACCAGGTTCAACTAAAATCCCTAAGTTTATTTGCCTTAAAAATAGAAAATGATATTAAACCATTTATGACCAGTGAAGGCTATCTTATATGGCGTGTCCGTATGAGCTCCCTGTGCCTAGCGTTTGTGGTGATAATATACGCCAAATATTAAGAAATAATTTTTTGTTTTTGTTTTAAGAATCATACAAGTGAGACCGTCGGGCCGATTTATAGACTCTTCCACAGTCTCTCGCTCGTCCGTTCCGTCTCCACGCTTAGAGACTGTAACGGTACAATATTTTCAAGATGGCGGCGAAAACGAGAGAGACTGTGTACGAGTATTTTGGTTCCCAAAGCACGCTGGGTCCAAGTTTTCGGGACCCATAAGTCCTTTCTGTCATTGTACCGTTGCAGTCTCTAAGCGTGGAGACGGAACGCACGAGCGAGAGACTGTGGAAGAGTCTAGCCGATTTAATGCTTGTTATTTCATTTGCATCTCATTTGCACCATCCATAATAACTGTTATTCGACGGTCAAGCGTTAGGTGCCTGGAAGTTTCTAATTTTCTACGATTTCCCATCTAAAACGACTGCTTATTGACTGCTTATTGCTTATTCAGTTTGATGTATTGGAATAAAATAGATACCTTACAAATCGACGATTTTTTTTTTTTCACATTTCGGAGTTTGGGAGACTGGTAATGACCTCGTGGTGCACAGGATTGTGGGTCTGATTTTGCAGAGGACACGAAAAATCTCCTCCATCTTGAATCTCGTTTCAATTGGCCAGGAGGTCATTACTAGTCTTTCTTTCATCGTTTAAATGACGTTTAAGGCTAGGTTTTGTAGGTGAGTATATTGCACAAGTGCTATTCTTAGCCAGAGCTGTGAGCTCCTTGTCGTTCCAAGAATGCTTGAAGTCATCTAAAGAAATTGTTTTTCAGTGACATTTCTTAATTTCTTTCCCTTCCATGCATTTTTAATTCATATTTCATCTATCAAAATTTACTCTGAAATCATCGTTCTGTGATAAAAAAATTCCACTGAAAAACCGGTTCTTCTACAGTCGTGCATGTTTAGTTTGTAACGCAACGTCACGCGCGTATAACTAAATTTCACTTTTTCCCAGCATTGGTAAAAATTTAATTTCTGATTTAAAAGTCTAATTTACTCTGCAATCATCGTTCTGTGATACGAATTCCACTGAAAAACCGGTACTTCTACAGTCATACAGGCGCTGTTGCAACCCTGTTACATTGCTAAGTATGTTTAGTTTGTAACGTAACGTCACGTTCGTGTAACTAAATTTCACTTTTTCCCAAACTGAGAATAATCGAGATACTTCAAGAAGATTTACAGCATTTCCCTTTGTTCTTTTGATCGATGCTACCCTGTGGTGTAGCTGGAAATTCTACCCTGATAGATTCTGCAGGCGGCAGTGGTCTTGTCTGAGTTTTTTCCGTAATCGCTGGGATTCCATATGAATTTGGAGTAGAATTTTTCAGAAGAGAGCGCGAAGAGATACCCGAGACCCACGTGTCGTCTGGGTTTGTGCCAAAGTTGGAACAACTGGGTTCATTCAGGAGTCTTTGTTGAATCATTTTCTCGATTAATATCGTAAAAATCTCGTCGATGTTGATCAGTCCTTTTGCGCTCGTCTCAATGTAAAATAAATCGTTATTCAACGCCCAGGCTTCTGCTTCACCTGAAGAAACCTTCCACTGGGTTTGAGGTTTGTCGGTCTGGTTACAAACGACAACGACGGGTGTTTCTGGCGAACAGCGATCCTGACAATCAAAATGTTAGACAACTATTTTTAAACTCAATGATCAATATTTGCACCCTCCATCGAGTTTGGTTTCCTAAAAGATTCCTTACTTTCATCCCCTCCCAGAGCCTGCGTTTATTTTGATCAGCGAACAACTGAATTAAAGCAGTTAATACATTGCACTGAGAGTGGAATATGGACGCATCATCTGTGGGTATGAATAAATATTGACAACGTATACATTTCTACACCGGGAYTCTGGGATTCCTCGGGGATCGGAATCGTGAGTAGAGTTTGTTAGGTTTCTCCCTTGATTCGAGGGATTGTCTCCGGTTATCCTCCTTGGCTAAACCTGACACGCTAAATTCGATTCTAATTCTATTCGTGAGCTAGCCATGCCCTGACTTAGATCAGCCCACAGGGTTGTTTCGCAGGGTTCAATCTGTGAGCTAGCCATATGCCCTGACTTAGATCAGACCAGAGGTTGTTTCAGGGTACAATCTGTGAGTTAGCTATGCCCTGACTTAGATCAGTCCACAGGGTTGTTTCAGGGTACAATCTGTGAGTTAGCTATGCCCTGACTTAGATCAGCCCACAGGGTTGTTTCAGGGTTCAATCTGTGAGTTAGTCATGCCCTGACATCAGCCCAGAGGTTGTTTCAGGGTTCAATCTGTGAGTTAG